GGAATTTGGTCCAGTGGGGTCATTCTTTGGTCCTATGGCCTGGAACTCTTCCGTGAAGAGCAGCCTGGCAAGCAGATTACTCCTTCTACTAGTGTGGCATTTCTTTAGTGGGGATACATGATGTTGGGTCACAAGAATGGAGATATATACTGACTGGGTGACTCTCACATCAGAGACAAGAAGGGTTTATGGCTTTTGGATACTAGTGTTCAACCACTCTTCTTAGCCTGAGGCACTTGTGTGAATCTGTGCATTAGGTGTGGCTCTTCCTTGTTCTGACCACTGCACTGCCTCTGATCAACATTACCGAAGGAATGGGGCCACCTTGAGAACTTTGAGATTTCTTTCGGCTCTGACTAATGTGTCATCAAGCACATCTGGGCTGGTCTTTAGCCATGCTGAAGTGCAGACATTCTTTGAGGAAAATGAGGCTTCTTTTGTTCTGTCTTCAAGCCTCTTGTCTATCCTGCCCACTAGAGGTGGTATTTGGAAGGCAGGGGTGTAGTGTGTTCTACACTGAAAGTGATCACTTTTTAGGAATAACATGATTACACTCTATAACTCAAGAGAGGAGATGGTTGGAAGGTATGTTCCCTTATGTTTATGCTGTAAAATTGAGAACAGTAAATTTATTATTATCAGAAAATTATCATTCACATTTTTCTGCATACGGTGAGTTAAACTTGCATTTATGGTTATCATCAGGGAAGCACAGTAACAACCTTTGAGAGAGTCATTGAATGCCGGTATTCATGGGAAGGACGAGGGGTAATGCAGTGCCATGAGTAATGCTGTAACCACCATTGATTTAGTATTTATTTACTAAGAGGCAACAGGATCTATGTTGTTTCCATACAAACATATTCTGAAGAGCCATGATATTGTGGATAATAACAGCATTATTACTTTGTTCCCATAGTGGGAGATATAAAATTATACAGGAATGACTTATTTAACAATAAAGGACATGATGAGGGGTGCCTGGGTGGCTCAGTCCATTAAACGTCTGACTATTGGCTCAGGTCACAATCTCATGGTTTGTTAGTTCAAGCCCTACATCATTAGCATGCTGTCAGTGTGGAGCCTGCTTAGGGTTCTCTCTCCCTCTCTCTCTCTCTGCCCCTCCCCTGTTTTCTCTCTGTCTCTTTCTCTCAAAATTAAATAAATAAATTTTAAAAAAATTGTAAAGAAAGGAACATGATGAGATGGTTCTTGGACTTAAGTAGGAATAGGTGTTGCCTGAACACCATAAAGAATCTTCCCATGCACTGATTTGATAATAAAAAATATTAACTACCTTTTAACTCATATTTTTAAATCTTTATTGATAAACAACCATACCTCACATGGACCTAGAAATTTCATAATGCACTTTATTTTTATTTTTTTAATAGTTTATTGTCAAGTTGGTTTCCATATAACACCCAGTGCTCATCATGATGCACTTTAAATAAAACTATTTATATAAACAGAGGGTCTCACACATCCTAGGGGGTAACCCTGGATGAGAGAAACAAAGAGCATTTTAGAGTTGATAGCTAATGTTTTGGCCTCTGGGCTACATCTGTGATATAAGTTCTGGGAATAAACTGAACCAGTAAGGGCATACCTAAGCCAAGCTTATACTGCCATGTTGCCAGAGTGGAGGTCAAGAATCGTCACTGAGGAAAGCAAGAGCATAACCAGGAAGATAGTAGTTTGTTTCAAAGACTTAATAAGGGGTAGGGCTGGAAACGTAAGAACTAGTGATGAAGTTGATGGTCAGGAGAGTGGGAAGCAGGCTGGGTGCTGTGATGGGCAGTTATTTGCATAGTTCAGAATAGACCAGTAAAAGCTATAGACTCTATGAAAACTCTTTTTCTTAGGATCTGGCCAATAGACAGAGCAGAAGTGGTACCTTAAGGAACCATTATCAACTCAACGTGGAAATTAAGACTGGGTGCTCCCTGAAAGCAGAAACTGATTTTCATTTATCACTGGAATCACAGGCTATTTCTCCTTGCCTAAGATATAGCAGAAGCTCAGGAGATGCTTGTTGGATGAATGAATTAAAACACTCAGTAGAAACAATAAGGTTTTGTCATTTTGAGGACTAGAAAAATGGAGAAACCAGATCTACCAAATATTTCCATGAGAATATTTCCTTCTACTTAAATTGGGGGCAGGGGGAGAAGTGAGTTGATGTAGTCAAATTGGAATTTGGGATCATAAAAGAGATCAGTAAAAGTGGCACCATACTGGGGGGAAATTAGGGGTTTCTTTCTCCCAAGAGCACCCATTTCCATGCACACAAAAAGCAAAATTGAATCCAGAGGTTTACTAAGAGGCGACATAGTCTCTTACTGTCAATTGGACATAATTTTTATTGTGGCTCAAGACATAAGAGTTAACTACAACTTTTCTATTATCGTCTTCCTTATGTTCATCCCAGAAAGTGAACAGATCTAATTCCATTAGTAATTCCCTTGTTTTCCTAATTCTGTTGATAAGACAGAATCGTGCAACTTCATCTGGTCCTACAGCTGCTTGTCCCCATCTGTGTGTCCCTGAAGTGGGAATAATCTTGCTTTCTGTGGTGCTTTCTATGATTGGCTCTGTAGATGTGGCATAGGAGACTTCACTTTGGATTGTGCTGCTTGGTGGGTCTGTTGTAATTTTGAGTTGGATTAAGTACTTATTTTCTATAGAATGGAGGTAAAAAGAGTGGGTGCTTATGTATGTTGACGATGTGTCTAGAAGAAAGAACCTATGGAGAAAGGAGAGTGAAAAAGTAAACTCAGTTGCCTTTTAATTCTCTCTCCTCTGATACACCTGTTTATTTACTAGTGGTAATTATGGGTTGGTATTACATTGGTCATACCTTTACATTGACTTATGTCACCAGCCAAATAGTGGATGATTCTATGTAATGATTTCTTTGAGGGCACATGTTTTTCCCAAAGGTACTTTAAGACAACATATAGAGAACACGCCAACCTCTGTAGCCTTTTATCTGACACCAATTCTTTTTTAGTCAATCTATAATATTCAACTTATTTCAAAACACAACAAATGAGACCGTTTTCTAACCTATACTGTGAACTGTAAGCCATTCTTTGAATATGATTTCACACAACAGTGTACTTCCATGCAAGGTGGGTACTGGGCACCATATTGTTCTTGCCCTGGTAAGGCTGCTGTGAAGTCACACATTCACTGAACACTGTCTTTTGGGATGTAGTTATTAGCTTCCCCAAGACACAAGTAGCTGAAGCTCCACACCTAAGTCTCTGTTTTCTTCGCATCATTCAAAAGAGACAAGTCATTAATATTGGGGTGACATGGGGGTGCCCATTCTTCTACTCACTTTCTTTATGAGGATCCAGGCTAGGCCTTCTATCCAATGCACCATTTCCTTTGCTGTCTTCATGCAGCATCCTCCTTCTGCAGCATCACCCCTGACAGCTCTCTAGGCTTAATGTAAATAGGCAGGTATGCCCTGGAATTTACAATAATTTATAAACACTACAGAGAATAAAATGTTCAAATCACTAATCAGGGAAATGCAAATCAAGATTATTTTACACCTGTTAGAATGGCTATTATAAAAAACAAAAGATAAATGTTGGTGAGGATGTGGGGAAAAGGAAACCCTTGTACACCCTTGCAGAAATATAAACTGGTTCAGCCACTATGAAAAACAGTATGGAGGTTTCTCAAAAAAAAAAAAAATAGAACTGCCATAAGATCCAGTAATATATACAAAGGAATTGAAATCAGGATCTTGAAGATATATCTGCACCCCCATGTCCATTGCAGTAGTATTCTCAGTAGCTAAAATATGGAAATTACCTATGTGTCCATTGATGAATGGATCAAATAATTATATTTGATATGGTGTATGTAAATACATACAGTGGAATATTATTCAGTCTTAAAAACAGAAGAAATCTCTGACATTTGCAGCAACATGCATGAACATAGGCCATCATGCTAAGTGAAACAAGCCAGACACAGAAGGACAAATACTACATGATACCACTAATATGAAGAATCTAAAATAGTTAATCTCATAGAAGCAGAAAATAGAATGATGGTAACCAGGGGAAGGAGGGAATGGGGAGGTGTTGGTCAAAGGGTACAAAGTTTGTTGTGCAAGATGAATGAGTCCTAGAGATGTACTATACAGCATAGTGCTTACCTAATACTGTTCTGTGTGCTTTAAATTTTGCTAAGAGAGTGGATTTTATGTTAAGTGTTCTCATCACACACAAAAATAGAACAAGAAGAAACATTTGGAGGTGACGGATATGCTTATGGCATAGATTGTGGTGATGGTTTGAAGGATATATACTTATCTCCAAACTCAACAAGTTATATACATTAAGTACATATGGCTTTTTGTATGTCCGTCATAGTTCAGATATATGGGAAGCAGTAGAGAATAGCACAATGTTCATGCAGGCTATTTGGGGTATAATTCTTAAATCCTAATATTGACACACATAAAATCTATGGCATAACTGGCAAAATCAAGCCCCAATCCTTGCTCAACTTCTAGTTAGTACCCCAACTGGACTCAAGTCTTGACCTTTGGTGTTAAGAATGAAGGCAAGTGGGTTATGCGGTTTGTCAGACAGTATGCAGTAATTTGTAACTTAGTGTTTATTAAATGCTTTCTCATAGCATTGCTTAAAGAAAAAAGGCTGTTTTCACCCTCACCTTGAATGTGAATTATGATCTTCAAAGAGTGTGCTAGATTTTTCTAACCAGAATCGGTGCAAGTATTAAGACTTTGATTCCACTTAAAAAATATACATTCTAGTTTTTATTTTCCAACAGTTCATTCAAAATTTAAAAATACATACTTATTAAGAGTTCTCTTTAATAATTCACTATAACAAAATTCTAAGGCATACTCTACTTTGTCTACTTGTTTTTATCTCACAATCAATAATTATATTTGATATGGTTCTCATTTTGTGGGCCAGTATTGATTGCTCGCTTCTCTTACCTCCTAGTTTCTCCAGAGTCTTCCAGAGACTGGCCCAATGTACCTTTTGATGCCTGCTTGGTGTTCATCTTTTGAGTCTGACTCAGAAGTCAGGAAGGATGTTACATGTCTACTTTCAGGAAGGTGAGGTTGTGTGTTCATTCTTAGAACATCTAGGATTCATCATGTAGATTACTCTAGATGGTACTCTGAAGAACCTAAAATAGTCCTTATTGCTCTTATTCCTGTCCAAATGGATTTCTTTCTTCCTGATAGGATAAGGTCCATTGATTTCTTATAATTTCTGTAAACAGAATTTTTAGATAGATTGCCTTTCCCTACCTAACTCCTAACAAATTAAAAGCGATGTAATTTGAGGCAACATCTTGAAAATAGATATAGAAACTTTGCAGGCAATATAGTTAACATTTCTTGAACCTTAGTTATGAACGAAGAACTAGACTAAAGGCATCCCTAGATTAACTAATTCATCCTTTACAGCAACCCAGTGTGTATATACTCTTATATGAATTTTACAGATGAGCAAATTGAGGCTTTGAGAAGTGATGTTGCCTATGGGAGACAGATATGGGTGGCCAGACAGGGTTCTAATGCAAGCAATTTGACTCCATAAGCCATACTTCTACTCACTGTGCTAGGTAGTTGCCTTCAACAGTTTCCTGAGACTAATTTTCCTAGTGGGTTTTTTAAGTAAGTACTTAACTCATGAGAAATCACATGACCCCAGTGGTGTCTCTGATTCTTTCTTTAGTACAGAGAAGATTGGTCAAAGCTGAGGTTTCTGTCTCTTTCAGTTTTATAACTGTATGCAGTATCCTGAATTAGAATCCCTCAACTTTACATCAGCTCTTCTAGAAAATTTCTGCCACACTCAACATCACTTAGTTTCTGGTTATACTGTGATGTGTGTTTTAGAACCTGTATACCTCTTAGACCCTGGTGAAATACCACATACAGATATATTGCTCTGACCGTTTTCTGTTATTTCCATTGCAAGTATTCTCACAAAACATTTATTGAAAGCTAAGGAAATAAGACCACAATATGTATAGTGTGAGTGTGTGTGAGAGTGAAAAAGTATGAGAAAGTAAAAGATTGTCTCTGAGAATGCAAAAGAGATGGGTATATGAGTTTGTAAGAGAGTGACTCGTGCATGAAAATGTGTGTGAGACTAAAAATATGTGTGTGGCAGAGTGTGAAACTAGAGTGTAAGAGAGAGTGTATACATGAGAAAGTGTCTGTGAGAAAGAGTGCATAAGAGAAAGTGTGAATACAGCAGAGAATATGGAAGATGCGGGGGTGGGGAGAACACGTGTGGGAAAGCGTTTAACAGAATGTGAATGTGAGAAAAAGATTGAGAATATGTGTGAATGTGAGAGTATATAAGTGTGTTTGTGAATGAATCTCTGTGTGAATGTATGGATGTTTCACTAATGGGGCACATGGACTTTCCTGGGTGCTAGAGGCCAGCCCCATGCCCTAAATACAGGCCCAGACACCCCACATATGATTCATCATTCTAAACTGTGTCACATGGTCACCACTCATTGTAAAGGATGCCTGGAAAATGAGTATCTGACACAGGAAGATGGATTGACATAAGTGGCTTAAGTGAATCATGATTACACCCCAGCAATAACAACACTGCTACCCTGAAACAAAGGAATTTTATTCCACAGAGGTAGGGGGTGGCCTGTGGTTTGTCAGGGAACAGAATGTGTCACAAGAGGAATAACCTTTCTTGGAAAGGACAAACAAGAAAGTATCAAGATGTGGGCCATGATTTAGTTCGCCACATGTTCTTATGCCTTGTTTGAATCTTTTATATGAGCTTGTAATACTCTTATATTTAATAAATAAAAGAAAAGTACTAAGAGGCTCTTTTAAGTTGGTGGGTGAGTGAGCGATACATAAGTTCTTTAAATTCTCCTTTGAAGCATACATACCTTCAGTAATAGTTCTGCTATTCATTTAAATATATTTTATATACAATTGTTTTGAGTGGGAATAAAGGGGGGGGCTACTGTTTTCTGCATTTGGGGTAATGCCAGGATGGAGATAAAGTAAATGCTATAAGGCCCAGAGTAGAGAAAGAGATTCAGTTAAAAAGGAAAATCCAAAGGTAACAATGAGAGTCCAAGTACTTAGGAATTTGGAGATGTCTCAGGGAAGGTGTTAAACTTGCAACAACTTGAACTAATGTTAGGCACAGCTTAAGGAGTATTAAGAAACTGTGTGGCATCTGTGTTACAAAGAATGGATTAAAAGCCCTGAAGTCACACACTATGGGACTCATCTCTGTTTATTGTATTGATTCCAAGTACCTGGGTGAGCTACAGATCAAAATTCCATTGTCCCTAATTAACCCAACATTTATTTTATTTTTCTTAAATAGTTTATTGTCAGGTTGGTTTCCATATAACACCCAGGGCTCATCCCCACAAGTGCCCTCACCCATGCCCATCACCCCCCTGCCCCTCTCCCCCACCCCCATCAGCCCTCGGTTCTCAGCATTCAAGAGTCTCTCATGGTTTGCCTCCCTCCCTCTCCCCAACTATTTTCCCCCTTCTTCTCCCCCTTCATCCTCCATCAACTTCCTCCTAATCCATCTATACGTGCAAACATATGGTATTTGTCCTTCTCTGCCTGACTTATTTCGCTCAGCATAACACCCTCTTCCATCCATGTTGCTGCACATGGCCAGATTTCATTCTCTCTCATTGCCATGAAGTAGTCCATTGTATAAATATACTACATCTTCTTGATCCACTCATCACTTGATGGACACTTAGGTTCTTTCCATGTTTTGGCTATTGTGGAGAGTGCTGCTATGAACATTGGGGTCCATGTGTCCCTAGGCATCAGCACTCCTATATCCCTCGGGTAAATTCCTAGCAGTGCTACTCTGGGTCATAGGGCAGTTCTATTGTTAATTATTTGAGAAACCTCCATACTGTTTTCTAGAGGGGTTGCACCAGTTTACATTCCCACCAACAGTGTAGGAGGGTGCCCGTTTCTCCACATCCTCGCCAGCATCTAGAGTGTCCTGATTTGTTCCTTTTAGTCACTCTGACCAGTGTGAGGTGGTATCTCAGTGTGGTTTTTGTTTGTATTTCCCTGATGTGGAGGGATGCTGAGCATCATTTCATGTGTCTGTTGGCCATCTGGATGTCCTCTTTGGGAAGTGTCTGTTCATGTCTTCTGCCCATTTCTTCACTGAATTATTTGTTTTTTGTTAACCCAATTTTTAAAATAAGGTCCATGTCAAATTATAGTGAAGGAAGAGCATTTTGTTTTGATAAAGAGTGTCCATGCCTTTCACACTTCCAACAAACTTTTCTAGTTGTTAATATTTTTTTGAAACAGTGCTCCCATTATGAAAGTTAGTGAGGAAGAAGATTTTTCTCCTGCATTTGAACACAGAGCAAGTACTCAAATATTCTAAGGGGCTGCTCAGGATATATACTAAAAAGGTATGCCTATGAACATTTAGAAGATGAGTCTTTCCTGGGAAAGTCAGAGACCACTTTATCAGAAAAATGCTGATGTAGAGAGGGGGCAAGATGGCGGAGAAGTAAGGAGCTCCGTACTTGCACTCGCACCCATACATCACACAGAAAAGATCTGAAGCCATTGGAAACCTTACAAAACCTGAGAGATT